CGATACTTAGGAGGTTTACGATGTCGTTGAGGTCTAGATATTGGAGGGGGACTCGGCAAAGACTCATTATTCTCAGTGTTTTTCTTTGTCTCACTACTGAATACATTGTCTACAAGATAAGGATTGTCATCGATTGTGGGGAGACATATTTCAATTGGTGTCTCAGGCGAAATCGGACTGGAAGGAAAGCTGGCTACTTGGTGATCATCGGCTTCTGTATCACTGTTGTCTTGAACAGGCGTTTTGTTGTAAGTAGTGGTGTCAAAGAACTGGTCAGGTACTTTGTAACATTCGTTGCATTTGACCTTGTATGAAGTAGCGCGTAGCTGCGAGCCAGTGAACTTCCTAATGAAGCACCACTCCCTATTGATACTGACAACGAGGAATCTACTGTCACCCGTCATGCACAGCGCTACTAAAGGAGCGCACACAACTATAAATACAAGCCGCTGGTGAACTATAAATACTAGCCACTGGCGCTGCAACCGCAAAATTACCTAGACTGGAGGTTTTTGACGCGCCCTCTGTGGTGAAAGCAATAACTAGTGTGTTTCCAAACTAGTTTTTATGTTAATGAGCAGAATGGAAGGCAAGAACGTTATCCAATCAGAGTAATTTGACCTTTAAACTATCCCTATTTAACCTTTGTACCCGAAGTCTTCACTTTTCTCGATCGTCAATCATAACAAACGAATTACTGTTTATAAAGTTTCGTACAAATTATTCTAATGGAGAGAAGTAGCCTGCGTGTAGCTTTATCTCGCCTGGGTTACAGTGAAGCGCGATCTGCACAAAAGAAAAAATCATAGTTTTACTGACGGCCACGACGTTTTCGTTGCCCTTCCGACCGGAAGCAGCATATCGATTGCATTTGAAGTTGCTCTCTTTAGATGAAAAACAGTTCGGCACTGTTGAATCAGAAAACCATAGTAATTGTCATCTCTCCTTTGGTTGCGTTGATGCAAGAGCAAGTATCAAAGCTGCAGAAACTTGGACTGAAGGCGTGTTATTGTCATCATGCAAAAACGAACACTATACCAGACGGCGTTCAGCAAGGTAACTTCAACTGGGTATTCAGCAGTCCGAAATCATTCTAGCTCACAGAAAACTGTTACTCTCCAAAGAATAAAATGTTTACCTCATTATGTAGCGCGCACGCCCCACTCCTTTTCTGTATCCGTTCAATAATGTCACTGCATATCATGAATAAATAATAGCAACAGATTAGTTGCAAGTAAGACCAGTCTGTGGTGGTTTCGCGTTCACTCAACCTTTCGCAAAACTATTTTTTCCAATTATTTTTTAAAACTCACCACAGCTAGGCCAGTCTAGCTGTGAGGATAAAACACCAGATACGAAAATGAATTGTCATTCCAGCTCAGCAGCCAATCAGCGACGGCCTTACAGTTAGATGACGATTTCGGTTTCAAATACCCCGGGAAAGTGTTCTATGTTCTTCATGTAGTTAGGTGCTCGTATTTAAGGAACTTTTTCCACACAAAAATGACGAATTCGGCCAAATTTTTGTTATCGGTTGGCCTAATATTACCCTAACGGATCGTATTTCTGAGAAAGATTGGCATTCTTGTCCTGATTTGTAGGAATATGAAAACGCTTTTGACAACTTATTTAGTTTTATGCCGCATTCAAGAAGGCGGCCCCAATATAGTAAATATCGCATTTATTTCATTATCACGTGTGCGCCAGCTGACTGTTGTTTGATACGAGTGAGGGTTCTTGTTTAGTTGAAATCTCGATGGGACAGCATAATTAATCGAGTCGTTATACTGAAAGCAGTCAATGCTGGCGTGCAGGGGTAAGAATATCAACTGCAATGCTGAGTTAATCAACGGCAATGGAAGACTGAAACCTCTACGGTCGAACCACACAACCACAGCTCAAGGAAACATACTTCTGCCACCGACATCTATAACCAATTTCGCTCCGTTTTTAGAAGAAATTCAGTCGATTTAACAGGAGAATTGACCTGCCCCCCCCCCCACTCAGGATCCATAGGGGGCCGCATGCGCGTTCCCATTTTCTCGGGAAAGAGGGTACTTTTTGACGATCTGTCTCGGGAACATTTTCCCGAGAAAATCGTAGAAAAGGGGGTATTTTTTGCTTGTTTTCCCGAGATTCTCAAAATAGGGGGTGTATTTCAAAACACTTCCCGAGATATACAAAAAAGGAGTTCTAGACTGAAAAGTTCCCTATATAGGGGGTGAAATTCATCGGAAAAGCCCGTGAAAGGGGGGGTGAAATTTTCTTCTTTTCCCTAGATAGGGGGGTCAAAAAAATGAGGGAACAAGCATAGGCCCCCCTAAATATAGGGAGTGGGGGGACCTGCTCTCACAAATGATAATAATTCGATCACTACACACAAAACCGCCATGCCAAACGCTATTTGGATACACAGTCTAATTCACAAACAATGTCATTCCAACACCAAACTATAGATGGCGATAGCACTGTGGTCCGTCACGGAACACAACTGTGAATTAAGGTTATGGTTAATTTATTCAGTAAAATGAAATGTATCATTATATACAAATTTCTCTGGTAAATGTTGCTATGAAATTGACCATGAAAACAATATATGTATTATGTATCGGGCAATGCTTGGCGAGCGAGTGCAGCCGAGTAATTTATTGATTTACTAAAAATAGAACTGACGTAACCGTATAATCAAAGTGTTAGAAATTTGTTGAATGTAAGAAAGTATAGATATTTTTTTTTACAGAAAATAGTATTTTCTCGCTTTTAAATAACTATATATATATATATATAAGGAACCCTTTGTTTAGAACATTGTTAATACACGTTAGTTTTCACTGGTGGCAAGATATTAGAAGACGTCATAAGCCGAAAACGTATTCGTTCTCTTTTGAAATTGGTGGCGCTGTTCAATACTTCTTACGCAACTAATTAATAACTTAAGGCTTTTTCGAAGAATACCATGCGTTCAACATCGAATGTGAAATTTAGTAATATAATCAAAATATTACAGTCAAACATATATTAAACTTGTTCTTCTTATTATTATTTTTAGCACCGTTAGGGTATGTAGATTTCTTCTATATACACACGTTATCTATAGAGATCAAGTAATTCGAGCAAACTGCTGAATAGAATTTTCTGAAATGTTGCATAATGATAGCCCCTAATGTGATCTGATGCACCTAACTCTCAGAATTTTAATTGTTTGCGGGGTTCGACGGCCATATGGGTGTAAAGAAAAACATCTATCAGTTAGTGTATTAAAGTACACGAGTCTATTTCAAGGGCAGTACGATGTAGTGTATTTGTGAGTGTTACTGCTTACAGTGACAAAGTACCTTTGTTTATGGCTCTATTTATAAAACATTTAGTGCGGGGTAAACAATGGGAAATTGTTCAGGTATCTGTCACAAAATTCAGCTGTTTTTTGCGTTACGTTTTTCTTTTAATTGCCATAGATATTGAACTAATTGTTCCAAGCCATGGTGTGTAATGTATTACTGTAATACTAGTAAGGCAGTCAACAGGAATTTTGTGCTGAACTAATTTGTTTACTGGACTTACATGTTTTGTCATCAGATTACATTGGCCTTTGAAATAAAAGAACGAAAACAATTGTATGTAATTAGTATGTAAGTCGAACATGCTAACGATCAGGCCTGTCTTCAGGGCTCATGCCACTAATTGAATTTCCATAGACGAGAATGTTAACATATGACGAGATTGCTATATGAAAATGATGAAGAAAGTTGAAAACATGGCTCAAAAATGGAAAATCAACATGCCAGTAATCAACCATATGAAAAAAAAACTAACATGTTGGCCAGCTCTTGCAAATCTCAGGTAAACAATACACACCTACTGTATTTGGATTGCACCAAGAGAAATCACTGGAAAGACACGAAGATTAAAACATCCAAATACACACAGAATAAACCCACAGGTACACAGCCGCTAA